ATAGATACAGAGGCAGAACTGCCTTGAACAGATTGTCAAACTACAGCAGGAAGGCCGGGGAGGGTGGGAGGGCAGGAGGGGGGCGGGTAAGAGCTCTTTGTAATAGTTTAAGCAATAAAAAAAAAGATATTTCTGTTATAAAAAAAAAAACTAGATGTGATGTGCCTATACCCTAGAGAGGCTGACTTTATAATGGTGACCACCAACCTGCACTTCAAGGTGGTCTTTGGCTGCTGAGAGTTTGTAGTAAAAGTATGGGCAGAGCAGGTGCAGTGCAAGGGTTTCTTGTACTGCTCTGTTGGAGAAGTCTCTCTCAGATGTATAGAAATTGTGACATCAGGTAGGGTATACACAAAGAGCATCCTGAATGCTTGGGCTGCTCTAGAGTTCCAGAAACCCTGAGTCTCTTGCCCAGGAAGTCAGTAATAACAGAAGTTGGGCCCAGCACTACTGCTTATACCCTAATGAAGCCCATACTGGAAGGAGGAGACCTTGGCTGACATCAATCTGACTCTCTGAGTGGACAGGATACCATTTGGGAACTTGGCCTCCAGACTCTTGAAGACAATGTTTCCTTTTGGCATGCGATGGAAGTCCAACTCATTTTATGAGAAACAGTTTAAGTTTCTCATAAAATGTTTAATCTAGGGAAGACTTGTGGAAGTCGGGGAGTGGTAAAACAAAGGAAAATCCAAGAAGAGTTTGGTGGGCAATACAAGAGGACCAGGATAGAATCCTAGGTTTGTCAGACTGCAGAGTCTTTGCCTTACCAGCAGTGAGACTGGAAAGGAAGTAATAGGTAATAAGAGAAAAAGTAATATGCCTTTGTGACTAGAATATACTTTTTCATTGTTTTATGCATTTCTTGACTCAAATCCAAAATGGATTTAAAGTCATTTATAATACAGGATATGCATGGAATAAATCTTCTAAAATAAAGGTTAAAAACTATTTACTTTTCCAAACTCACTTTGTGTGTCTCTTTCTTCCTCTTCAGATATCATTATTAATTCATTTTCTTTTATATAAGTCCACTGTAGACTCTGGCTACAAGTGATTGCCCAAGGGGCTTCAGTGTCAAAATCTTTTCATCTCCAAATGTCAATTATATTACTTCCTTTTATTAGTTTTTAAAAATGTATTGGGGTGACATAGGTTAATAACATTTATAAGTTTCAGGGGTACAATTCTCTAATACATCATCTGTAGACTCATATAACGTCAGGAAAATAACTAAACTGACAATAATGACTGTGGCAGAGTTTGATCACAAAATTTAGTTGTTTGTACATGCTTACATTCATCATTTCTCTGTGAGCAGCCATGATAGTTGCCAAATTGAGTCCAGTATAGAAGTGGCAGCCATCAACACTACTGACTACAGGAAAGTTTCTGTTACAGCAGTAGCAGTGGTATAAATAGTGGTACCTAGTGTTTTGTGATATCAAAAGAGCTCTCCTCACCACACCAGTTGTACAGTGAATTTTTGGTTGTTGAACCTGGAAACAGCCCTATGCCTCTTTCTCCAGACCTCATGATGATGCTGTTAGCTTCCAAATATCCTTTCTTCCAACTTACTTTTGATCAAAGTTATTTTATACACAGTTAAATATACAAATCTTAACTGTACAGGTCAATGAATTTGACAAATGTATACAGTGTGGGACCAACATCACAATCAAGACATACAACATCATCACTCCAAGTGCCGAATGATGTTGAGTTTGTGCTGAATCATATTTCTGTTGAGAGTCAGAAATGCTCACATCCTGCTCATATCCTCAGACACAAATTAATATACTTTCAGCTTTTAACACATTTTTTTTCCATTGGTAGATGAGGAACATTTTGCATGGCCTAGATGATTTTTTTTAAATGTCAGTGTTTATTTGTTTCTGTATAGAGTTAGTAGTAGAATTGTCATAGACCAAAGCCTCCACCAAATTCAATATTGTGTTGTGTCCAGAATATTTATTTTCTGGCTAAGAGTCACTTTCAGTTGCATGACCAAAGTTCATTTTATTATAAAGCTTCATTTTTTCCTTTCCTTCTTTTTTTAACCTTTTCAAAGATTGCTCTTAGTTGGTTAAGGACCATTATAGCACACTGTCTTAACCGCTTTTCAACAACTCAAGGTATGAACAGGATTAGAGAGCATGGCATCTTCATTAAGATGCTGGACAAACCAAGATGTAGATGTTGGCCAAAGATGACAGTTGCCACACATCATTCGTATACAATAGTCCACGCAAGAGATGGTGCTAATTTGGTCTAGTGCAGGGATTGTCAAATTATAAGCCCACAGGCCAAATGTTTTATTGGAACACATCCACACTTTCATTTAAGTGTTGACTGTAGCTGCTTTTGCTCAATAAACGTAGAATTGAGTAGTAGCAGACAGAGAATGTATGCATCCCACAAAGCCTGAAGTATTTATTATCTGACCCTTTATAGAAAAAAAATGCCAATTCTTGGCCCCTAGTGCTATCAGGGCAAGTGGAGACAAATAGATGAGCAGATTGTATTATTGGAAGTAGAGCAGGAATAAGCCTGACATGTTCTAGAAACACAGGAAGGCCATAAACGGATCCAGATACTATCGTCTCTCCCCTTATTTTGTAGCACATTTGTACCTGTTGATATTTATTTGGACATTAATCCACTCATTCAGTGAATATTCTTTAAGTTCCCACTGTGGGCCAGACACTGTTAGCTGCTACACACACACACACACACACACACACACACACACACACGCACACACGCACGCACACGTACACAAATCGTATAAGGGGAACCAACAAGTAAACAATTACAACACAAAATAGTAAGTGCTAACTAAAAATGAGGGGGAAAGGATGCAATTGATACAGAGGAGGCAATACACTTTTCTTTTACCACCTAGTCAGCATCTGCTATTAACATGTAACCTTCCTCAAATTATACCAGAACCACATCTCTCCTGGTTGGTCATGCCTCCCCTCCTTCAGTCACTAAACTACATCATATAATAGTAATAGTCATCATTGTAGCAGCTAATCCCCACAGAGCATTTACTGGGTGTAAGATATAGCCAGGTACTGGACACACACTGTCTCATTTACTCATCACAATCCTGATATAAATATTACTATGCCCGTTCGTGAAATAGGAAATTAAGGGTCAGAGAGGTGAAGTCCTTTGCTCAAGTTCTCATGTGTGTTCCACAATGTAGCGCTCAGGGCATCTGCTATTTTCTTCCTCCTCTGCTCTGGCTTGCTGCTGATGCCTAATGTTAAGATTGCTGCTTGATGGTATCACCTACCGAAGGCGCCAATACCAACCAATGTGTATGCCAAAGTCTTATGTCTAGAGCATTAATGTTCGAGTCCAGGGTATTGTTTCTCATAGATGCTAAATATCTGGGAACAATGACCATATTTTGTGAAAGAGTTCTTTGTAGTTTTTACTTGTGCTTTTATTACAGTTCCTGCCCTTGGGTCTGGTGCCAAATTACCTAGGTTTGAATCTCAGCCCTGAAACTTAAGTGCTGTGTGATCCTGGCGAAATTGCTTAACTTCTTCATTCCCCCGTTTCCCTATCCTTAAAGCAGGAACAACAATATTATCTACCTTTAGTGTCTGTTATAAAACACTTAGTCCAGCGTTATTGCGAAGAAAACTGGCTTCTTTTTCCAACTCTTAAACAGGCCTCTATCTATCAACCTCTTGCCTCTTTCTGGGTACTTTCTATCTGTTCATTTCACCTTACGTTTATTGATTTTATTCACTTTAATTGCTACTGTCATGCTCCTTCCTATTACAGGAACTTTGATTATGCTGTTCACTGTCTGAAATGTTCCTTTTCCTGTTTGCCTGGCCAATTCTTATGTGTTCTTTAAACTCCATAAGGGTGAGGACTCTACCTGTTTTTGTTTGCCATTTTACACCCAGAGTTTCATATGGCACTTGGTGCACAGTAGGCCCTCATTAATGTTTGTTGCATGAAAACCAACCTGAGTCAGCCTAGTAGCTCACCTTATTCAGGTATTGCTCTGTATATTAATTCACATCCTAGCTACAGCTTTTTTTCTGTCTACTCACTGGTTCTAGACAATTTTCAATAAATAAATAAATGCTATATGTTAGGTTCCGGGCTAGGGTCTTGGAAAATAAATTTTTAAAATAAAAACTTTCGCCCAGCCAGTGTGGCTCAGTGGTTGAGTGTCAACCTATGAACCAGGAGGTCATGGTTTGATTCAGGGCACATGCCCAGGTTATAGGCTCCGTCCCCAGAGGGGGGCATGCGGGAGGCAGCGAATCAATGATTCTCTTTCATCATTGATGTTTCTGTCTCTCTCTCCCTCTCCTTACCTCTCTGAAATCAATAAAAATATATTTTTTTAAAAAATAAAATACACATTTTCTGCTCTCAAAAAGCTACTCTTTCATTGGAGGACACAAGCATTCAAAGAGAGAGGCTATAATCTAGAATGATGTGGTATACTTAAGGCCTGTCCTGGACTCACTGGGCATAATGGACCCATGGAAAATGAGAAAATAAATTTATTTGGGAAATACAGGAAAGGATTTACAGATGAAGTAACATGTAAATTGAGTTAAAAAAATGAGTAGCAGTTTTTCCAATAGACAAGTAGGGGCAAAGCATGAATGCCTTTTCTTCTTTTGTTGATCCTAACTTTTACAAGCTGTTACCTCTTTGACATTAGCCTAATGTTTTTCATCTCCAATAACTAAATGCTGCTGTTTCCCATTTTCCAGTGTCTCTATAGATTGTGTACGTTGTTTATTCTCGGTCTCAATGTATTCCTCTGCCCTGGATTGCCCTTGCACTGCTAATTCGGTGCACTTTTTGGTCCTTCTTTGTAATATGTATTGTTCATTAATTTTTACGCGCATGAAATATGCATTCCTAATGGTGACTTCCCTTCTAGTGCTCACTGGATTTAGCGCTCTGCCTGCACCCTCAAGGTGCTCAACTGAATTAGTGGGAGTCCCGCATTGAATGATATGTGACGTAAGTTCAAGAAAGTGCTGGAAGGATAGTGAAAGAATTTTAGATCCAGCAAACCTTGTTAAGCCACCATGAATAGGAGCGTAGTGAGAAGACTAGGTAGGCGCATTGAAAAGGCAAGCAAGGCGACCCGCGTTTTACACGCAGCGTAGTTTACGGGTCCGCCTATTCTCTCTGAGCCTGTGGCTCCAACATCTTTTAAACAGACTCGTCCGCCCCATTCCCATCCTTCTGGATCGGAGGCTCTGCTACGCCGCCGCCGTGGGCCAAGTCCCGGGCACGCGAGGAGCCCACCCTGCACGGCCGGAAGGAGCGGGGCGGGGCCTCCAGGCTCCCAGCTGGGCCTGAACCCGCTCGGGGAAGCCAGTGTGGGGCCGACTGTTTTTTAGGCAAAAGCCAAGGGCGGGCGCGCCAGGCTGCCTCCCCAGGCTCTCCTTACTTGCAATTCCTTCCGCCTTGCTGAATTGGGAGTCGCGATCTCCAGCACAGGTGGGTCCCGCCCCGTGGATCCGGGAAGGGGTGTCCCGGGTGGGTGCGATGGGTGGGGTTTGCCCGGGCGCTTGCATGCAGGCCTGGCGCAGTGCGGGATGGCACGGCGGCGCCCCCCCCAGCTGCTCGGGCCCGTCGGCGGCGGTACTCACCTGAACCCTGGCAGAGAAAGAGGCCACTCGCGCCTTGCTGCAGGGCCGTCCGTCGTCACGGTTCGTGCCAGTTGCGCGACAAAGAGTCCGCCCCGAGATCAGCGCAGGGCCAGATGGGCCTAACGCTGGAAAACAGCTGCAAGATCTGGAGCAAGCCCGCCTTGGGACTTGCGCCCAGTATACATTGTTTTAAACTCGATCGGACTTCCCAGTCCTGGATCTGAAACTGATTTGGTGTCGGGCTTTCAGCAAGTCCCTGCCCTCTCTCTGCTTCGCTCTGCTTGGCAGTGGAGAGGAAGGTGGCTGCCTGCACGACCTTGCAGCACTGATTTTTCTTTCGTTCTAATATCCACTAATGTTCTCTGCCCAGATTTTACCCTTTGTCTGCCCCTCCTGAGCGAGGATGCCTTGCAAGTCAGGAGTGGCAGGGCAAGGCGTTGCGGAAGCTAGGCAAGGAAGTTCTCTCTCTAATGAAAACAACTCTGAAAAGCCTTTTTAATACTACTGCCTGCCCTGAACACTGGAAACAACATCCATTCAATGCTTAGTTTGAATGGCAACTCTGAAGAATGCTCTTGTGAATGCTTTACTATTAAAGATTTTAACTGGATGATTGTTTGACCAAAATGTTTTGTGCTCAATGAACATAATACACTGCTTAGCGTGTCTCATCAGAAAAGACCTGCGTGACTTTAGTGTGCCTACCCAATCGCTGAAAGAAAACCTTCAGCTCTCACATGTAGGAATACTTCCATAATCCATTCCCATACAGCAGTTTTTAGAGTTGCTTCTTACCTTGGTATTGCCCTTTCAGGAAACACGGTAGTAAAAACTACATACAATTTATTTTACATGAACTTAACTGTAAAGGCAAAGAAGAATTATAATCACCATGAACCAACATTGTGGTGTCATTCTGACTCCTCTGCATGAAGGAACTGGTGATAATGAGAATGACAACCATATATTATGCAAAGCACTATAATCTGCAAAATGAGAGGTGAATGTGTTTATTGACCACCATACATAGAGAGGTTATACTTTATTTCATAACCAGTGTGATGAAGGGAATGTTCACTGGGGTGGTTGAGTCTGGGGGCATCCTTTGGGTACCCACCGCATTTTTTATCTGCGAAGTGTGGACTGGGATGGATCACTGCCTTGCTTTGGCATCTGTGTTAGGAACCACAAGCAGTTGTGCATCTCTGCTTGGCAACCCTGGGAACAGCAGTAAAATATCCAAACATCACTCAGCAACTGCAGTGCCTCTAGCAGCTGTGTTTTCTGCCTGCCAGGAAGGGGGGAGGTGGTCCTGGATCAATGCACCGGGACCTGATGGTTTCCCAAAGGCTGATCCATGAGAGGGAAGTGGTGGCAGACGTCTGCTGAGTCATCCTTGAGGCTGAGTCTAGGGCTGGCTGTTTGGCAGGACCTGGGGGATGCTTTGGGCATATTTTTACTCTGTTCATTCATTCTTTTATTCCAAAGTCAATCGATACATGCTTACTTTGTGCCAGGATGCTGATCCACTCGCTGCGATTGGCAGCACAGGGGACAGTGAGTTCGGGAGGACAACAGGAATTCAACTTGAAGCATGCTGAGTGGGAGGCATCCTCACTCTTCCCCATTCCCTGAAGCCAATCAGTGCCAAATCTTGTCACTGCTGCCTCCTGGGTATTTTTAAATCCCACCCACTTCTGTTTGCCTGCCACTGCTGCTCCAGCTTTCCAGCCAGAATCATTCTTTTTTGGTGATTTTTAAACAATATGTTTTTGGGAGAGAGGGAGAAAAACATTGATAAGAGAAAAACATCAATCAGCTGCCTCCTGCATGCCCCCTACTGAGGATTGGGCCCACAACCCAGGTATGTACCATCGAACCAGTGACCTCTCGGTGCATGGGAGGACTGAGCTGCACTGGCCAGGGTATTTAGTGATTTTGAAATTTTTGTTTTAGAAGATCTAAATCATTGCTGGACCCTCAGTCTTAATGGGAAAACCACCACTCCTACCATCACCACAGCAGCAGCAACAACATACAAGAGCCTAATGAGCTCTGTGTTATTCCTAATATAATGTCCAAGAGACAAACTCTTTTTCCTCTGCTTTCTAGGGTGTTTTTAAAATTGTGTATTAAGATATAATTTACACACCATAAAATTGACTCATTTTAAGTGTACAACTTTAAGAATTTTTAGTAAATTTGTTGAGTGGTGCAACCACGACCACAGTGCAGTTTTAGACATTTCCATCACCTCAGTGACATCTCTCTCTTACCCATTCGCACTTAATCCCTGTTACCACCCCCAGCCCCTAGCAACCATTAATCTGCTTTCTGTGCCTATGGATTTGCCTATTCTGAACATGTCATACAAATGCAGTCATACAGTATGTGGTCTTCTGTGACTTAGTGTAATGATTTTAGGCCTGTTTTCTTTTCTAATATATGCATTCAATGCTGTAAATTTTCCACTAAGCACTAAAACTGCTACATCCCACAAATTTTGATAAGCTGTGTTTTTCTTTTTATTTATTTCAAAGCAGTTTTACATTTCTCTTGAGATTTTTTTCTTTGACCATTGGTTGAGAGTGGGTTGTTTAATCTCCACATATTTGGGGATCTCCAGTTATATTTCTGTACACATTGTATGGTTTCTATTCTTTAAAATTGTTAAGGTGTGTTTTTATGACCCAGAATGTGATCTATCTTGGTGAATGATTCATGTGAGCTTGAGAAAAAGATATATTCTGCCATTTTTGGATGAAGTAGACTATAGATTTCAATTATATACAATTGGCTGATGATGTTGTTGAGTTCAGCTATGTTCTTACTGATTTTATGCCTTCTGTATCTGTCATTTGTCTTTTTTAACATATTTTTATTGATTTCAGAGAGGAATGGAGAGGGAGAGAGAGATAGAAACATCAATGATGAGAGAGAGTCATTGATTGGCTGCCTCCTGCACACCCCACACTGGGATCGAGCCTGCAACCTGGGCATGTGCCCTGACTGGGAATCAAACCGTGACCTCCTGGCTCATAGATCGACTCTCAACCACTGAGTCATGCCTGGCCGCGCAGATTTCAGTCTTTTAGTGACCCTATACCAGTTGGATAATTTGTTTTGCTTTATTTTACAGTTGAAGCTAAAACATAGACATTTGTGGTTTCAATTTCTTAGCATGATTCTTGTGCTTCAGAAAAAGGAGAGGCAAAGTCATTGTTTTTCCCAATCCCTAATGTAGTCATTCTCCTCAAATGTCACTGCCAGCCATTCAGGAATCAAAATGCCTAGTTTTTTGGCTTGTAGACTTTCAGAAGAGGATGTTTCTTTGTAGTAAACATGAAGAGATTGAAGTTGACACATGTGATTACCTGCTCCGACTAGAATTTCTAGCTGTGGCCATTGCCCAAGTGTTTGTGAATATTTTGTAATCAATGATTTTTGGGTCTTGACTTAATTTAACTAACATAAAAACGCATTGAGTCTTTAGTATATGTTTGGCCTGTGGGGATTACAAAGAACTTTGTTCTGTGACCTCATGGAATTTACAGTCTATCTGGAGAATCAAAGCTTACATTCTTGAATCAATTAGGTCAATTCACTCAAGATAATACCCTCATGTTTGGTTCCAACAGTATATGTTGTTGATCGTCAGGAAAGACAATAAATCTGCGTAGTCCGGGTAAGGTAAGGAAGGCTTCTTTCAATGAATAGGACTTGAAATGGCCTTTGAAAAGTCAATAGAGATTTTACATAAAGAGAACATTCTAAGTAAAGTATTATGAGCAATACCATGGTCAGGACATTGAAACCCACACCCACCCCCCCCCCCCCCCCCCCAACTAGAATAGTTTGTCTCCTTGAATCACACATACCCACTTCTTCATCATGTACTTCAAACAATAAAAAAAGGGAGTCCTGGCACATAAGTGGCCATTCATAGGGAAATCATAAGTCATTCCATTTGACTAACACTGGCCCATCTCCCACTTGACTCTCCAGAAACTCTTTTGTTTCTCCTGTTAGAACCTTTTCCTCATCCTTCATATTGAACACTCATGGTAACCTTCTTTGTCTCCTGACCACAATCTTATCTTTTCATATTAGTAGGTCATCCTTGGACTATCTCTGATGGTTTCGATTTTGGTTTTATCAATGCTTACAACCTTCCACCTAGACACTGATGGAAATCCTCCTTGGGTTGCAATACCTGACCTTCATAAAGTCTGTCCTTCAATCAGTAATTCCAGTAGCACCATGGTGTGATGTTGGAGGAGATAATGGTGCACCAGTAGACAATATATATGGCAAGTATGGCCCTGAGGAAAGAAGCTGCCTCCTTTCATATTAAGGATGCCAACTGATAAGCTAACAGAACACAAAAGTTCAGTTGCTAGCCTTGGAGTCATCTTGCTCCACTTACTCTCCCTGAAAAACATATACATGCACAGATACATGAATAAAGCCTTAGTTCCGTTTTCACTAGAAGGCACTAACACTAACATGTATGCTTCTATTGGAACTTTTTTTTTTCTAACAATGCATCACAGCCGCCCAGATTTCATAATGATGCAAAGGCACTTAGGGGTGCTCTTCATTTATACCACATCTTATCCCACAGCATTTATGCATCTTGAAAAGGGTCTTCTCCAACACAACAGTACAGGAGACTCCACATGGGTGATGGGGTGCCTTGTCCATAGGTATACTACAAGTCCTCAGCAGCCAAAGGCCACTCCCAAAGTATAGGTCGGTAGTCCCTGCTGTAAAGTCATTCTCTCTAGGGCAGTGGTTCTCAACCTTCCTAATGCCGTGACCCTTTAATACAGTTCCTCATGTTGTGGTGACCCCCAATTCCATTGTTACAAATTGAACATAATTAAAGCATAGTGATTAATCACAAAAATAATATGTAATTATATATGTGTTTTCCGATGGTCTTAGGCGACCCCTGTGAAAGGGTCGTTCGACCCCCAAAGGGGTCGCGACCCACTGGTTGAGAACCGCTGCTCTAGGGTGTAAGGGTGCCCCCTCCAGTGCGCACCAGGGTCAGTAGGCTTCATCCAGAAGCAACACCAGACCAACACCTGTGCTCAGCAGACTTACCAAATGGACATAGAATGTGTGGTTGATGTATGTATGTGAGTATACTGAAAGAAGTATACTTAAGTTGCCAGTTGTAAGTCCTGATGGAAGTATACTTGTGTTCCCAAATCCAATCCTAAATTCTCTGCCTGTACCATAATACCATCCCAGTGTGCCTCTGTGACTCATGGAATAAGTCACTTAAAGATGTTTTGTGGCACTGCATTTGACATTATGTCTTGTGGCATGCATAAACATGAGGTCTGTTCACTGCAGACAAGGACACACCAGGAAAACCAAAAGGGAAGATCCCCATACTCTTGACCCTAGACCCATGGTCGGCAAACTGTGGCTCGAGAGCCACATGTGGCTCTCGAGCCACAGTTTGCCGAGCCGCAGTTTGCCAACCACTGCCCTAGACCACCCTTGTTAGGCATAAACTTTACCTCAACCTGTCCTGCCTGCCTCCCAGAACCACAAGCCATACTCTTTACAATAGGTGCACTGATGAAATTCGCCATGTCCTGCTTGACATTATTGTTTCTCACCAAGGGCCACAGTTGTCAATGCTTTTTAAACCCCACATTCTTTTAAACTCTTGCTTCTCTCTTACAGGATACTAAATAAAGTATATTTAACAGTGTTCATCTCCTTTCATGTAAAAAAGATCTGCAACGTTTTCACCAGCACGGAGCCCAGTGGAAGGTCAGCAAAATGTCTAAAGCACCTCGTAATTCACCTCCACCTGCCTCCACCTACCAGTTGCCTGTTAGGCTCAGTCACTAAAAGGGCCTTTGGTGGTATGTGAGTTGCATGAGATAGGTTCTCAGTGAGTCACTAGGTAGGGGTGAGCGGTGTTCACCAGATTGATACAAATTCAAAGGCGGTACCAGTGCTAAGTCTGAGGCCACTCAGCAAAAGTCCCAGGGTACACCAAGGCCAGCTGTCACCCGCCGGGTGAACACAGACTTTTGAGGTAAGTAGGGCAGGGTCTTAGGGAGTCGTCTGGAGGAGGACAGCAGAGCTCATCAGGCTAAAAGATTTGGACATTTGGAGGGAGGGTTCTATACAGGAATAGTAGTGCTGGTCAGACAAGCAAGGGAAACATGGCCCCTTCCCTAGATCCACACAATTAAGCCTTTCTCTCTTCATCTCTGCCACCTGTAGTCTGCCCGGACCTCCTTGAAAGCCTTCCAAGAAAGTCTGCACCATGGGCCCAGTCTGGCCAGAGGCAACAGGTTCCTCCACAACTTGAGAGCTCAGCAGAGTGGGGCCACGGGGAGTCTGGAGGGTGGGGCTGGTGCATTCCCCTATGCTGATGCGGTATGGAAGGGAGTGTTCAACCCAGGAAAGATGGCATCTGTGAGTGGTGTGGGAGAAGGACTCAGCACAGGGACCTTGGTGGCTGTCCTTCCTGGCCTCTCCCAAGAGCCACACTACTCAATCTCTCCCTGTAGGATTCCAGTCCATTCTGAGTCACCTTACCTCTGCTGGAGCCCAGCAGAGTTCATCAGACCCAAACAGACCAAGGTTTGACCATGGGAAGTGAGCATTCTGCACTGGTTGGGCATGTGAGGGATAAGTGGCCCTTGACCTGGAGCCACAAAGTCAATCTTTCTGAGATTCTACCCAGAACTCCTGGAGAGTTGGAGTTTGGCAGCAAGAAGTCAGGAGAGTGGGAATAGTGGATGTCCCATGAAGTGGTGGCACTGGTCAGGCCAGTGGGAATGCAGATGGAATAGTCCCCACCCCAGAGCCACACAACTCAGTCTCTGACACCCTTGAGTCCACCCAAACCTCTATACCCTGGGCCCAGTCAGCTGACTTCTTCTCAGGGCATGAGCTCTGAAGGGCAAGGTGACAAGGAACCAGGCCATTGCATTCCTCCAGGCTAATGCCATTTGGAGGGAAGGGCTAGACCCAGGGAAGATGGCATCTTTGGTGTGGAAGAGGGCCTCAGCACAGTGACCCTGGTGGTTGTCCCTTCAACTCTCCCCAAGGCCACACAATCCAGTCTTCTCACACAATTCCACTCTGCTTTGAGCCTCCCTCCCTCCACTGGAGCCCAGGGTGAGTGGTTGCCAATGAGATTCTGTGCACTGACCCATTAGGAGGGTGTCTGGCTTTCTAGCAGATCGGCATCTCCCTGGTGGACAGAAATGCTGCTGATTTTCACAGCCAGATGTTATATAGGCTCCACTTCCCAGTTCTGGCGCTCTAGGCAGGGGAGCCTGGTTTGGGGTTGAGATTTCAGGCTCCCCAGGGGGGACGTTTGCAGCTGAGATAGCCCATTGGATTCTCAGACACTGCACATGGGTATAGAGCCAGCCCTTTTCATGATACCATCCTTCCTACTAGTCTCGAGGTGGCTTCTTCTTTAAATCATTGGTTATAAGACTTCTGTTAAGCTCGTCTTCAGCTGATTATTCAGATTGATTGTTTTATATTTTAGTTTTAATTCCAATTTGGTCCTAGGAGGAGGTGAAAGTAACTTCCACCTATCTGCCGCCATCTTGGATCTCAGTTTGTCATTTTTATCAGAGTAAAAAAATCTAAGTTTTTATGTTTTAGTATAGAAGGCCCTTTGTGATCTGCTCCTTTCTGACATCACCTCCTATTACTTTTCCTGCCCCCTCACTAGGGATCGAGCCCACAACCCCGGCATGTGCCCTGACTGGGAATCAAACCTTGACTTCTCAGTTCTATAGGTCAACAATCAACCACTGAGCCATGCTGGCTGGGCCACACTGCTTTTTATACTCTTCTTTGGCAACAATAGATACAATTGCAGCTTAGTACCTTTACACTGGTCTACTTTACACCAGATATTTTCATGACAAGCTACCTCTTTGTTCAAATATTATCTTTCTCAATGAACTCTATTCTGACCACCATGTTTAAAAGTCCTGCTACTTAACAGCATACACCTTTACTTTGCTGGGTTTTTGAAGCTCTTATTACTTTTAATATACTATATAATTTCCTTTATATTGTTTATCTGTAATTGTCTACCTCCTCCCACTAGAAGATAAACTCCATGAAAACAGGAAATTTGTCTGTTTTGTTCAGTGATATATCTATGCCAAGGGCCTAAAATAGTGCCTGGCAGAAAGTTGGCACCTAATAAATATTGCTTAAATGAATTGATTAGCTAGTTAATTCGTTAATAAGGATGTCAGGGAAGGTTTTTAAAAATGAATTTATATTTAATTTGAGACCCAAAAACTGAATAGAAAAAGAATGAGAGGGACAACATGGTTGGCAGAGGAAACGACATATGTGAAGGCCTTGAGGCAGTGAGGGCAAGATCAATAAGGCCAATTATGTAAAGCCTTGAGTGTCATTGGAAAGAGATGACTTAATCCTTTTGCCTGCCCGCTAGAATCTCTCACCAAATGGGGAAGGAAAAATAAACAGCCAATTATTATACCTGTTGTAAGTGTACTAGTAAAAGAATGCAAAAAGAGCTGTGAAAACACTGAGTAGTCAGCTGCTAACTCTTCCTAGAGGAGTTAGGAATATTTTACAAAGAAGGTGACATTAGAGCTAGGTCTCAGGCAGGAGAGTGACATGATGAAAGTGTTTTAAGAAGATTAATCTGGCAATAGTATGGAAAGTGGATGGGAATATGGATGGACTGGAGGCAAAGAAACCATCTAGTCTATGGCAGTAGTCCAGGCATGAAGTGATGAAGGCATCTATAGGAATGGAAAGAGAAGGACAAATCTGAGAGACATTTGGAAGGAAAAATTGACAGGAACTAAATGGACTCTTGGCTTTAAGCCTCTCAAGAGGTAATGCTTCTTCCTTAGTAATAACCATGAAAAGATTCAGACTGACCTATTATGTAATTGCCTATTCTGACTAGAATTTCTAGCTATGGCTGGCCTCCAAAAGTTTGTTATTGTGATTGATACTTGTTGGACCTTAATTTACATTAAGATGGCTTTAGACTCTTAAGGTTGGGATGCTCTCAAAAACATAATTTTGACTATGAAACAGCAAATTATTCCATTAAAAAAGAAATGAGTGAAACCATGGGACTGCATAGGAAGTTTTACAATGAGCTCATAGTTCCTTTTTTAAAAGTATAATATTACATATGGAAAAGAAGAATGGCTGTAACAGGTGGCATGTGCTGAAAGGATTAGTATTTGGAAAAATAAGGCCCCAAATTACCTCTGGCTTGGATAAATATATATTTACAAAAACAATAAGAACAACGTTTTAACTATGTTCTCAGAAAGAAAAAAGTATGTGTGTCCTGGATAAGTTGCAACTCAGACGATATTCTAAACTACTCTCAATGATCAAGGAATTAAAAAGATGAAATATTGCCATTTTGTAACAACAGGGATGGACTTTGAAAGTATTATGCTAAGTGAAATAAATCAGACAGAAAAGGACAAAAATCATATGACTTCACTCATATTTGAAATATGCAACAAACAAAAAATAAACAAAACAAAATAAAAGCAAATTCATTATCATATATATATATGGACATCAGATTGGTGGTTACTAGTGGGGAATGGGGGCATAATAGATCAAAATGGGAAAAGGGAGTCAAATATATGGTGATGGATGGAAACTACACTTTTTGGTTAGTGAGTACACAGATGTCAAATTATAACGTTGTACACCTGAAACGTATAATGTTATAAACCAATGTGACCTCAATAATAATAAAAATGTGTTTAGTTTATCCTTACCTTGATTGATCGTTGGACTTGATATAAAATTATGGGTTACAAATAAAGTATAGAAGTTTTAAAGAAAAAAAAGACTGGGCTAATGTAAATACATTACCATTTATAACGAAGAAAAAGAAGGAAAAGTTTTCAAGTAAGTGAGTACTTAGAAAGTTACAAAGTTATCAACAAAGAGATTCCACACAAATATAATTTTTACTTCTGACAAGATCACTAGATGTAGTTTATGGAAGTATAGAAGAAATATGGAATGAGAAAATGACTGATATTTCATCAAAATTTTAACATCTTTTATGACACACTCATGAAAAATAATTTTGAACCCATATTGATGGATTAGATAATTAATACAATTGTATATTAATTAATTAAGTTATTAGCATACTCAAAGAGTAACGATTAACAGACCATAGGCAAAGGAAGAGTTTTGATAGGCTGTTTCAAACCTACCTTTAGCTTGACATAGGCAATATTTTTATTATTTTTTTATTTAAATCTTTATTGTTCAGATTATTACAGTTGTTCCTTCCCCCCCCTCCATAGCTCCCCTCCACCCGGTTCCCACCCCACCCTCTGCCCTTACCTCCCCCACTGTCCTCATCCATAGGTGTATGATTTTTGTCCAGTCTCTTCCCGCACCTTCCACACCCCTT